TTCTGCTTCAGCAAGGACTTCTACATAAGAATTGCCTCAGGAGAAAGCAGTGACGACAATCTTTCTGTATCTTCATTTTTTCCCCCAACTTTCCTCTGAGTGACTCTATGGGCAACAGCCTCATGTGATAGGTTCTTTTCCTAGCTCTGTATATAAGGCAGAAGAACCTGCATGGCTTGGCAAATGTTTAGAATTATAATATGAATGGTATTGAATACGAAGTAAAATCTACCTGAGAGAGTAATCCACATTGCAAAACATTTAAACAAGTTTAATTTCAATTACTTGATTTGTTTTCCAGATAAATAAGAACAAACTTCACTGAATAATCATAATGCTATGTCAAAATAAAAACAATGCTTTGTGTATATCACTATGAATTTTAGGTCCACAGAGGACAATCTTCTGGCTGTCTAATGGAGAGGATAAAGCTCTAAGTAATATCAAGGGCCAGTCGTCTCAGGTGGCTACGAAACTCTCATTGGAATGGTCTTCAAACTCAGCTCCAGCCATAAGTAGTAAAAAAGACAATACGCTATTGACATAAGAGAATTTGTCATTTCAAACCTAAAGTGAACTCATCAAGATATTAAAGGGCAAAATGACTTAAAAATTTACCCCTAAATGATATTACAGAAAGAACTCCAGAAAACTGCATGACTTGTGAGTTCTTCATACAGCTTAATATTTTCTCATTTAAAGAGATTGGAAGTGACTCTTCTTTGGTATAAGGTGGGAATTTTATTCTGTGTTTCTATTTACCATGTATATTGTTCTCTATCCACTGATAACAAAGTAGCTGTGTGTACTAGTAGGATAACGTGCTGAGGATACTAAGGGCACAATAAGACTGGAGATATGTGCTGTTGTTTTCCTATTCCTGGTATAGTTGGTACACAGACGACAGCAATGAGAGGGGCTTAGAAAACTGCAGAATGAGAATAGGACTGCAAACTCCAGACCAAAGCAGAGTGTGCCGAGAGGGATCAACACTGGCAGATCAAGCAGAACCTGGCACAATGTCACAGATATTTTGTGANAATAAGACTGGAGATATGTGCTGTTGTTTTCCTATTCCTGGTATAGTTGGTACACAGACGATAGCAATGAGAGGGGCTTAGAAAACTGCAGAATGAGAATAGGACTGCAAACTCCAGACCAAAGCAGAGTGTGCAGAGAGGGATCAACACTGGCAGATCAAGCAGAACCTGGCACAATGTCACAGATATTTTGTGAGCAGGTAAGCATTGACGAGCATTTATAAGGAGTTTTCTGTAAACCATGTGATGTTTTAGCAAATGGAACGGGACTTGCAAATATGGAGCGCATATTATCTGATAGGTCTGTATGTATAGCATTTTTAACCCTGCAGCAAAGTATATCTAAGGCCATGTTACAAGAAGGAAAGTGGATATAAGGGAGATTAAATTACTTGCACATATTTATATTATAGAAGTAGACTTTTGAACCTCTTGAATCTCCAATTTATGTAAATTTTGTTAAATTTCCTGTCAGAATTGACACCTGCAACTCAATAAAATATACCCATTTACTTCCCAGACAATTAAAAATATCAATAACTCTTCCAAACACTGTAGGATAGTTGAATCAAAGTTGACTTTTATTCTAATTGGGGTGGAAAAATATTAAATGCTCTTTTCTGAAGACTTGGTAATAACATAGTCACCATTTTCCCAATATGGAACGTTGCTCCATGAGCAAAAATTAGGTGTGGCTGCCAGAAAAGTCCTCCAGGTCAGTCTGGTGGGGAATGATGAGTAGTGACAGGATGGTCCCAGCAGTCTCAGGCTTGTCATGCTTTTGATTGCCCCTTGGGAGGTAGACAGGTTTACAGTGTCTTTAATGTTCATATGGTGATGGGATAAGAGAGTCTGCAAAATGGCTTAAAAACGGGAAGCAGCCTCAAATTCCTGTAGGTCTCACTGCTATCTCAAAGAAACTAGGCATACTAAGTCCAATAGCTCATTGTGCAAAGGTTGGGGCTTGACAAATCTGGGAAATGAGGTTTTCAGGGAAATAAATCAATTATGTCCCTTTTGGTCTACGGAAGTGGTATAGCCCAAGTAGAGTGAATTTATCACAAAATTCTGGACCAGCAAATATATCTCTATAACTCTTCTTCTGATGTAATACTCACATATTTTCAATCGCTCTTACCTTGAGTATTAGAAGGAAAGTAGGATTTGTCACTAATACAAATGGAAAAAGGAAATAGAATTACAGTGAGAGTTTCAAATGCTAGACCTGCTAATTTCTGCTAAAGTTTTGATTTTCTCCCTTCGGAAAGATCAGCTAAAACCTGAGATGGGTGTGAGCAACGATATATAACTTTTGGGAAGCCTCCCCTGATAATTACAATATGCCCCCAGTAAAGGAACAGTTATGTCAATCATGTGTGATATGATTCCACAGAAAATAATTAGCCTCTAGACCAGAGAGTAATAGCCTTTTTTGCTTTGTTCCAAGAAAACCACTCCTAGAGTTTAGAGGGTATTTTTTTTTTCTAGAGAGGGGGAAAATACACGTTATTCAATTAAGCAGGTAATATTAAATAACATATGTACAAATCACACTGCACATGTATTGAGGGACACAGACAACAGTCTTTAGTATATGTCCAAAGAAAGTTCTAAACAAAGAAAGAAATACAGTTTGGAAGAGTTACTCAGTGTATCTTAGAAAAAAACACGTGAAGCTTCCTGGGACCATTGATTCGTTGAACTCTCATGACAGAAAAAATTATGTTTACCAAGTTAGGCTGCGGGTAGGGGATACAAAATGGTAAAATAGCCCTCTGCCCCAACTATTATAGGAGTCATTCCTGGGACCATTGATTCGTTGAACTCTCATGACAGAAAAAATTATGTTTACCAAGTTAGGCCGCAGGTAGGGGATACAAAATGGTAAAATAGCCCTCTGCCCCAACTATTATAGGAGTCACACGTCTTAAAATGCCATGATAATAAAACCAGATGTGAACACAGAAGAATTAATTAACTCAGTCAGAGTGATTAGGGAAGGCTTCCTAGAGAGGCGATATTTGAATTGGGTTTGAAACAAGGACTGTCTTTAAGAAACAGAAAAGGGCAGGAAGAATGTTGCAAGTTAGAGAAACAATGTGTGGAAGTAGGTAAGCTGTGACAGGACTTGCCATGCCTGGGGGCAGTGGGATGTTCCCCACATAAGGAAGGTTAGGGGCAGAAGATTAGGGGGACCTGTAGATCCTGAATGCCATGCTAGGGCACTTGCACCTGTAGGGACAGCTTCTTGCAAAGAATGACCTGTCTAGAGTTACTCTGGCTGATTGTAAATACCAGCTCCTTTTTTTTTTTTTTAAACAAACATTATCGCCTTCACAAATTCAGTAACTCTCTAAGCCATAGTTTCCTTATCTCAAACATGGACACAACCCTGCTATTTATCTCATGAGGTGTTTGAGAGGATACATGAGAGAAGTGTTTCAGACACGTTGGTTTTCTTGACATTCCCTGAATATATCAAGCTCATTCCCACCACAGAGACTTTGCACTAACTGTTCCCTGTGTCTGTCATACTTTCTCTCCCCAGATCTTTACATGTTGGGTGGCTTACTGCATTCCAATCACAAAGTAAGTGTCAATTCCACAGAAAGAGCTTTCTTGACCATATAGTCCAAAATCTCAACCCAGTCCCTGACTCTTTAATCACTTTCCTTTAATTCTCTTCATGGCATTTTTCTCTATCTGAGACAGGAGAGCTCATAACTATCTTATTCCATGTTATATTTCCCATGCACAGAAGTGCCTGACAAATCAGAGACAGTAAGTTGATATTTGCTGTATTAATGCATTGGTCTTGGATAGTCACTTAAGTCATCTATCTTAGTTTCAATTTTTGTAATATTGGTACTGAAATACCTACCACATCAAGTTTTGGGGAAGAATTAAGTGAAAAAATTCTATCAAACACACGGCATTTTGACCAGCACATTTCAGATATTGGGAAAATACTGGTTTCCTGACTTGCCTCTTTGTATATTCTTTGCCCATATACTCAATACATAACACAGAAACTAACTAAAGGTATATTTTCCTATTTGTTTATAAGCTTTGTGGATCCTACAGAATACTTTCCAGAGTGTCTCTACCTTTCTTTTCCCCACCACATTCCCCATATCCACGTCTTCTTCCTGTTTTCCTTTCCTTCCAGGACAACAGTGCCTGAAAAGGAGCCCCACGGTGCATGGAAAGTCCTCATGTTACTTTCATGCTGTCCCCTCACAACAGAGTGGATATTTTAAGAAAGAGTGGAAATAGAAATATGACGAGGTAACATAATCAGAGGAACTTGAGTTAATTCTTATCAGAGCTGTATTCTGGGGAGCACCACGGAGGATAGAAGGACTTTAAAAGAATGCTTCAAAACCATCCTGAATTTTTTCCTTACATCCTCTTAAATTGTTTTTCAGTCAACGTTGCAAAGCATTTCAGTACGCCAGGTTTGGATTAAGTCACACGTAAACGTTTTACAGATATTACTCCTCATACTCCTGTGGGTGAGAACATGAGCACTTTTTTCATATTTCCATCTCTCATGCAGATCCTGACTGTGGAGAGAAGTGATCCCAAATGAGGGGACTCCAAGAAGATACTTGAGCTTTCTTTATATTATTCACAAATTTGCCTAATATAACATTTTCCCTCATCACTCTGAGTCCTGACCTTGAATTCAGCCAAGTAAGTTTGATCCCCTTTTCTCAGGTTCTCTCATTAAGAGCTTTCTGGCTGTTGCCCAGGGGATCTACATTAGAGTCCAAGTAAAGCCTGTGATCTTTACAATCATCTCACAGTCTTCCCCTCGTATTCACATGTGGGAGAAACTCGCTGCCACCAGGAAGATGGGCAATCGGACCGACCAAGTGCACCTCTGCACCACTGGTAGAAAGTGAGTATAATCATGAAGAAGATGGGCAATCGCACCAACTCGCTGCCACCAGGAAGATGGGCAATCGGACCGCAGTGAGCACATTCCTTCTGTGGGGATTTTCCAGTTTCCCTGACCTACATAGTCTTCTCTTTGTGGCGGTGTTCTTCTCCCATGTGACCATCCTAGCTGCAAATGTGTCCATAATGGTGACCATCAAGCTCAGTCACAACCTTCACACCCCCATGTACTTCTTCCTCTGTGGTCTGTCCTTCTCAGAAACCTGCACCACGATGGTGATCATCCCCCGCATGTTAGTGGACTTGCTATCAGAGAGCAAGACCATTTCTCTTCCTGAGTGTGCCACGCAGATGTTTTTCTTCTTTGGTTTGGGAGCCAACAACTGTTTCATCTTGGCTGCCATGTCCTATGACCGTTACACTGCCATCCACAGCCCACTGCACTACCCAATCCTGATGACCCGAAAGATCTGCTTTCAGCTCATGATGGCCTCTTGTGTGGTTGGGACAGTGGTGTCCCTGTGCATTGTCATCATAGTATTCAACTTGTCTTTTTGTAACTCCAGCACCATTCAGCACTTTTTTTGTGACATTGCCCCTGTGGTCTCCCTGGCCTGTGATTACACCTTTTTCCAGGAAATGGTTCTCCTTGCATTCACTGCCTTTGTGTTGATGGGCAGCTTTATTTTAATTATGATTCCATATGTCTTTATTGTGTCCATAGTTGTGAAGATGCCCTCTGCAAGGGGAAGGTATAAGGCCTTCTCTACTTGTTCCTCCCACCTCACAGTTGTGTTCATACACTACGGATTTGCTTGCTTTGTCTATTTGAGGCCTAAGAACAGTGACTCATCCCGTGAAGACATGCTGATGGCTCTAACATATACAGTTCTGACACCTCTGCTTAACCCCATTGTCTACAGTCTAAGAAACAAAGAAATGCAGATAGCTCTGAGGAAAGTACTAGGCAGTGTAATTGGGCATTTCCCTCAGATGGTAAATAAAAGAGCCCAAAACATTTAAATAATGTACAGAGTGTTGATAATAAATATGGAAAAAGTGGAGTTTTCCAATTAAAAAAATTATTACTTAGTGTACAAAGAAATTAAAGTATTATCTAATTGCCTGATCTGTTCTGGTCTTACTCTTTTCCTAGTACAAATCCAGATTTAATTATAAGATGTAAAATGTTATTACACACACAAATATATACATATGTATACATACATGTATGCAAACACACATATGCTTGTAATATACATATTAAGACATCTTTTGGAACACCATATTTTCATAGTACTGGTTGCCTTTGTGGAATCAAGAAATTATTCTAAGTAGAAAAAGAAAGAATGGAAGAGAGAGTGAGAGAAGGAAAATAGAGAGAAAGATCACTAATTTACTTAATTTAAAAGGGAGAAACCATGAACATACAAATTTCAAGATGAAATGAGGAAATTACTACAATACAGAGATAGTTTAAAGAATTTTAAGAAACTACTTTGTTCAATTCTATCCACCAAAGGTAGAAAATTGATTGCAATGGATAAATTAGTGGAAAAAATAAAATGAGAAAAGTGACTCCAATAAATAGACATTTTTAACACACAAGATTCTAGAAAATAATATAGATCTAGTCTTTCAATCCCTAACAATTTATTAGGCTAGATGGTTTTATAATTAACTGCTTCAAGTCCTCAAAAAAGAAAAGTTAAAAAAAACAAACAAACAAATAATTCTAATGTTATTTAAATTGAGTTACAAGATGGTGAAGGAGGATGTCATCAAGATAGTGGAGTAGGAAATACCAGCTTTCGTCTTCACACCAAAAGACAAATATAGACAGCTATTCACTAAATGTGAGTTACAAGATGGTGAAGGAGGATGTCATCAAGATAGTGGAGTAGGAAATACCAGCTTTCATCTTCACACCAAAAGACAAATATAGACAGCTATTCACTAAATGAAAAAAAATAGCCCAGAGAGGGCTCAAGAGCTTTGTAAAGAACCTGCAGCAACACAGTGGAGCAAAACAAAACTGGAGAATATCCACACAGAAAGGCTCACTTACATGATAGGCATACCTAAAATACCGGAAGATGGCTAGAAGCAAAGAAGAAAGGCAAAAAGGCTACCAGTATCAGCCATACAAAGAGTTCAACTCTGGCCCCAGAAGTCTGCTCCATCCACATTTTTTGCCACTGATGAAACGACAACCATTCTTGCTGGGGAACCTCAGAGAGGGAGATGCAAGTGTACAACCCTCCTCACCCTTGTTTAATTTCTTTCATCAATGTTTTGCAGTTTTCAGCTTACAAGTCTTTCACCTCCTTGGTTAAATTTATTCGTGAGTATTTTTTTCTCTTCAATACTATTTTAAATGGGATTGTTTTTTAAATTTCTTTTTCAGATTGTTCATGGTTTGTGTATAGAAATGCCACTGATTTTACTGTACTGGTTTTGTACCTGCAACTTCACTAAAGTCACTTATTTCTAACAGTTTTGTGTGTAGGAGTGTGTGTGTGTGTGTGTGTGTGTGTGTGTGATATCTTTGTGGTTTTCTGCAGATCATGTCATAGGCATAGAGAGAGAGTTTCACTTTCTCCTTTCCAATTTGAACACCTTTTATTTCTTTTTCTTCTCTGATTGCTCTGGCTAGGACCTCTAGTACTATGTTGAATAGAAATTGTGAGAGTAGACATCCTTGCTTTGTTCCTGATCTCAGAAGAAAAGATTTCAGATTTTTGCTGTTGAATATGATGTTATCAGTGGGCTTCTCATATATGGCCATTATTGTGTTGAGGTGATTTCATTATATTCCTACTTTAGTAAGTATTTTTATCACAAAAGGGTGTTAAATTTTATCAAAAGTTTTTTTCTCTGTCTATTGAGATAATCATGTTATTTTTATTCTTTATTCTGTTAATGTGGTCTATCAAATTAATAGATTTGCATATGTTGCATCCAGGTATAAATCCCATGTGGTCATAGTATATAATTCTTTTAATGTCTGTCAAATAAGGTGTGCTAGTGTTTTGTTGAACACTTTTGCAACTACATTCATTAGTAATATAGTAATATTGACCCATAATTTTCATTTCTTGCAGTGTCTTTGTCTACCTTTGATATTAAGGTAATAATGGCCTCATAAGACGAGTTCGATAGTGTTCAATCAAAACTTGAAGTCTTCAGGTTTTGGAAGAGTTTGAAAAGCATTGGTATTAATTCTTTAAATAATTGGTAGAATTCTCTAGTGAATCAATCTTGTTCTGGTGTTTTCCTTATTTCGAGGCTCTTCATCACATACTCAAAGTCCCTACTAGTTATAGATCTATTTAGATTTTCTACCTCTTCTTCATAAAATTTTGGTAGGTTATATGTTCTCAGGAATTTATTTCTTCCAGGTTATGCAATTTATTGGCATATAATTGTTTGTAGTAATCATTTATAATCCTTTTTTTCCTGTGGCATCAGTTGTAATGTCTTCTATTTTATCTGAATTTATTTATCTGAGTCTACTTTTTCTGTTGGTCTAGATAATGGTTTCTCAAAAACGTTTATCATTTGGAAAAAAACCCCTCAGTTTCATTAATTATTTCTATTGTTTTTCTATTTTATATATTTCTACTCTAATATTTATTGTTTTCTTCCTTCTGCTATCTTTCGGCTTAGTTTGATTTGCTTTTCTTTTTTCTAGTTCATCGAAGTGTAGAGTTAGGTTGTTTGTGATCTTTCTTTTTTTGAAATGCTGGTGTCCCCTCTAATGTCTTTCAACAATATTTTGTTGTTCCTCTTGTAGAGATATTTCCTCTCTTTTGTTAAATTTATTCCTAGGTTTTTACATTTTTGAAGGCTATTGTAAGTGGGCTTGCTTTCTTGATTTCTTTTTCTGCTGTTCATTGTTGGTGTATAAAAGCACTACTGATCTTTGTATATTGATTTTGCATCCTGAAACATTACTGAATACATGTGGTACTCCATTGTGTATATATACTGCATTTTCTTTATCCAGTTGTTCGTCAGTGGGTATTCAGGTTGGTTTCAACTCTTGGCTATCATAAATAGAGCTGTGATAAACATGGGAGTGGAGGTATCCCTTCAATATGATGATTTCCATTCCTTTGGGTATAAACCTAGCAGTGGCATTGCTGGATCAAATGGCAACAGATGCAGAAAAAGCATTTGATGAAATTCAACATCCTTTCATGATAAAGACTGTCAGCAAATTAGGTGTAGAAGGAAAGTATCTCAATACAGTAAAAGCCATATATGACAAACCCACTACCAATATCATCCTGAATGACAGGAACAAGACATTCTTAAGAACAGGAACAAGACAAAGATGCCCACTGTCACCACTCCTATTTAACATAGTGTTAGAAGTGCTAGCCAAAGGAATCAGGCAACAGAGAGAAATAAAGGGCATCCAAATTGGAAATGAGGAAGTCAGACTGTCCCTGTTTGCAGATGGCATGATGCTACATATAGAAAAACCTCAAGACTCTACAAATAAACTCTTAGAACTGATTAACAATTTTGGTAATGTTGCAGGATACAAAATCAAAATGCAAAAATCAGAAAGTAGTGTTTTTATACTCCCGTAATGAACTAGCAGAAAAAGACATCAAGAAGGCAAGCCCATTTACAATAGTTACCAAAAAAAAAAAAAAAATACCTTGGAATCCATTTAACCAAAGTGGTAAAAGATCTCTACAATGAGAAATACACATCATTATTGAAAGAAATTAAAGCAAACAAAAAAGGTGTAAAGACATTGCATGCTCTTGGATTGGAAGAATCAACATTGTGAAAATGTCCATACTACACAAAGTGATCTACAGATTCAATGCAATCCCCATCAAAATACCAATGACATTCTTCACAGAAATAGAAAGACAATCCTAACATTTATACAGAAACAACAAAAGACCCCAAATAGCCAAAGCAATTTGAGTAAAAAATAAAATAAAATAAAGCCAGCAGCATAACACTACCTGAGTTCAAATTATACTGCAATGCTATAGTAATCAAAACAGCATAGTACTAGAATAAAATTAGACACTTGGACCAATGGAACAAAATAGAGAACCCACAAATCTATCCACATACTTACAGCCAACTGATCTTTGACAAAGGCAACAAGAACATATATTGGGGAAAACACTGCCTCTTCAATAAATGGTGCTGGGAAAACTGGACATCTACATACAGAAGGATGAAACTTCACCTGTACCTTTCAGTATATACCAAAATCAACTCAAAATAGATTTAAGACTTAAATATAACATCCAAAGCTATAAAACTCTTTAAAAAAACATAGGAGAAACATTTCATGATGCAGGACTGGGCAAAGATTTTATGATTAAGACCCCAAAGCACAGGCAACAAAGAAAAAAATTAACAAATAGGATTATATCAAAATAAAAAGCTGCATGGAAAAATAAAAAATTAACAGAGTTACAAGACAACCTTCAGAATGGGAGAAAATATTTGTAAACTATGCATCTGACAAGGAATTAATATCCAGAATATATAAAAAATAAAACAACAGTAAAATAAAACAGGCAGGCCAATTAAAAAATGGGCAAGGGAGCTGAACAGGCATTTCTCAAAGGAAGATATACGAATGGCCAACAGACACATGAAAAAATGCTTAACATCACTCAGCATCAGGGAAATGCAAATCAAAACCACATTGAGATATCATCTCACACCAGTTAGACTGACTGTTATCAAAAAGTCAGAGAATAACAAATGCTGGCAAGGATACGGAGAAAGGGGCACCCTCCTATACTGTTTGTGGGACTGAAAACAACTCAAACAACTTCAGATAGGACTGCTATATAACCCTGAAAGTTAAATCTAGAACTCTTGCTTACAATCACAATCTTTTTTCCACTCTAATACAGGTTTATCTGAAGTTCCAAATATTTAATTTTAGTCTTGATTCAGTTTTTAATCTTTTCCTTTACTACATGTATTTACATATATATAGTCATAGCCATTTGCACAAACATAGTGGGGAA